TCTAATCATATTTTAATGTTATGTCACTTAATAAAAATTAATTAATGTTACCGTTACTTTTAGAATTGGTTTATTATCCCTGCCTATTTTTAAATTTTATTTTTTAATTATTATTTCGTAATTAAAAAAAACTCAAACTTTTATATTTAATTTATTTAATAATGAACCGACTGTATATGTATGTATTAGAATGCGATTGCGATGAAACTTTGGTGAGTTGTTGTCTACACCCCAAGGAAGGTTTCTGAATTAAAAAAAAATACTCTTTTTTATGTAGGTATGCCATTATGAAACTATTGACTTCTTTTTGTTATGTTTTTTATTCAGGAAGGAGATGGTTTGTTTTCTTATAATTCAAATGTCAGCGACATCGATATTTTACTGATACGTGAAAAGCCATGGAAGAAGTCTGTAGAAATAGGTTGACCAACTCTATTGGTGTTTCTAATTTTAATAAAAGACATCGAACAAATGATGATTCCAAATTGATCGAAATCGCAAGAAAATTGGAAAATCACCAGTACAAATATTGCCCATCTGTCAGGTCCAATAAGGTCATAAAACTATACTAAAATCCGTAAATAAACAACGAATTAAGAAAAATTTAAACATTTTTGACTTCGAATTTACTCCACAAAAAAAGGCTTACATTGACACATTCGAGTGTAATGAAAGAATATACCCACCTTCTTTGTAATTGCAATTTTATTATTTAGTTTTATTGATTTTTTACATAAGCTAATACATGTATATGTGTGACGCTAATTTCTTTATGTAACTGTTTTGTTTGTTTCAGTGCATATAATCACAAGGATCATCCATTTATTCTTAACGAATATTAATTGGTAATAGGGAGATTTACTTTTGACCATTTTACTTTAAATAAAGGTTTGGAAAACGATACGATCCTTTTACCGAAACTGAAGACATCCAACACGATTGGTCGGTATTGTAAAAAAAATATATATTACTTATTTGATTGAAAAAAATCGATTTATTTAAAAAGCATCAAAACTACTACATAAGATACAATGTTACTGGCAAAAGAAATTAATATGCTATAACTAAAGTTGGCTATACCATAAATCGAAAATTTTAAGCCAGGTGATGAAGCCAATTCAGAAAATAGTATAAGCTCCTCTAACAACACTTTATGTTGTTGAAATGTGTAATTGTTACACCGAATAATTTCTAAAACAATATCTTGAACAACTTTAGGGATTTCGCTCATTATTTTCGTGGTCACTGTAGCAGTGTGAAGCATCGAAATAATAGTCCCCTAAAACATTTAGTTAACATTTACACACACTGATAATTAAACTCGATAATAAGTATTATATAGAAATTTACCAGATAAAAGATGTTCCAAAATGTAATTGATATAACTTTCTTGAATGTAATCGCTTCGAACTGATTATAAAATACATGCAGTAAAATTGAACAGAAAATATAAGTGAACTGTTGAAATATTTCGACTCTGTGGCGTCTATTAAATTTATCAATTGCGTCGCATATTTTACATAAAATTTTAATCATTCGTTGCAAATTTTCTTTGCATATGTTGTCCATAATAATTTCTTCTGTCTCTGTCGTCTTTTTATGCAATATTAGAAGAATCATTATTTTAAAATTGATTAAATGTTCATAAGTCATTGCTGTCCTTTCTTTTATTAAAAACGCATTCGTTGTGATATTCGCCACAATATGAAGCCTATTAAGATGAGTAATTGAATCATTTAATATATACCATACATTTACTAAAAGGTCGTTGCTTATCAATTTCACAAAAGATCTAAAATATAAAACTGTATTTCATTTCACTTCCAAATGTTTACTTACCTGGAAATAGTAAACATAGTAAGCCAAAATGTAATTAACTGATTAACACGAAATTTTTGTTTTTTAAGAATACGTTTGTCTGTATTCAATTCTTTATCGATATCGTTTAATTTATCGTAAAAATCTCCATCATAAACGTAACATTCAGGAATTGTTACTAAATACATTTTATTTATAAACATCCACAAATCAAGAAATAGTGTAACGAATAATATTTTCTTTAAAATATTAAAAATTGCATAGAATGTAGATACTGATAAGATAATCGTTACATTTAGCGTAAATCTAACAATCTTATTTAACAAAATTGGTTCAAATTTGGTTTGTCTACCAATAAAAAAGCCTATCAGATTCAAATTTCGAGCGATGTATGTAACATCCATGTCTCTTTTTATCAAAAATACGCGGCAACATAACTAACAACATCTGTAGATATTCGTTTAAATATATCCAATATCCCTTTAGTATTTCTAATAGGTTTTCACTACGAAACAAGCAAACTACCGTCTGTATATGTAAAAATAATATAGTATGTAAATAAAAGAAGTATTAATGCGTTTATTATTTAGTCTTGCAGTACATCCATGTATTGTAGTATGTGTACATAGATAAATTTTATCGTTGTTTTCTCTCTAATATAACTGAATGTTTTATTACATGCTATTATTATTTGTCATAATGAAAATCAATAAATATACATTTGAAAATGTGGAAAACATCGTTTCTATGGAAACTTCATGTTTAAAATTTATTATATTTTTAATATATACATATGAGTGTGCAACATAAAGATTGCAAGAATATAATTATCTTGAGTGTGGCAATTTCATAACAGACAAAAGAACTAGAGAAAATTTATACCTAATTATTAAGAGTTTACATTCCGAAATGTTCGTATTAGCATTTTCTAAAATTACATTTAGCAAATTAATAAACTTTTGGAAACATCCTGTACAATTTGAAATTAGACGCAATATACATCTATTTAGGAATTTCTTCAAAAAAAAGAAATAGTAAAATATTTTAGCAGTTTCTAGAAATTGTGTCTGGCTATGGATTTTTTGAATTTATTTCTGTTCTTGACTTATTTTGAATAGGTAAGAATAATTTAAATTCTGCAGGTAACTCATCTTCAGAATACAGTCTCTCAGAGAAGTAAACCCTTCGTATTCGACAATTGGCATGAACTTGAACTCTTAATGTTTCCACATAGTTGGTACCATAAGCTCGTCTAGTAAAATCAGCAACATTAAATTGTATTTGATTCCAACCCTCATCCAATCTCATTGGCATTGTGCAGATAAATGGTTTAACTCTCGTAGTTGATTGATAATTGCTTGCCCTGAACCTCCTTCGAACATTTTTATCATCTAAGATCTTCAATAAAAAAAAATTATGTTCAGCAATCATATATCTAAGCTGGAACATCAAATACCTGTATCTCAAACGTGAAGTATTTTTTCATATTTTTTACTATCATAACAAGGTAGGGTAAGCGTATTCCTAATGTTTTTCGAGGATCTGCTGGACATGTAATATACGTAGTACTAACATTTGAACCAACAATTTCTAATACCAAGGACTGAATGTCTTCATCTGTAATTCGTTTTATATGACCGTTTCTCACTTTTTTATCCCACAACTGAAGTGGTTTGCTGCCGATACTATATAATATTGAAAGAAACCCACTTTGAAATGTATTTTTAAACATATCTCCTTACGATTCATTTAAATACTACAAAATTTTGTTTTAAAACAGAATATTTAGGTTAAATCATCTTAAAGAAACAATATCCATAAGAATACTGACCATAGATAATATATTGACATTAATCTTTGAAACTCCTGGTGTAGCGGCAAAACTACAGCTTCACGTAAATAATATTGTTAGTGCACCACATAATAATAAAACAATAACACATATTTTAGTTTACTTTATTAATTTTAAATTTTAGATTGCTGTATAATGAAAATGTAAATACATACATTTTTCTCTTTCTTTACCTTTCGCTTAATGGCTTAAATTTTGAATTGTTTTATTAATTACATTGTTGTCTATGATGTTAGAAATCTTTAGCAATTTCTATTATTATTGCGTCCAAGAAATTCTACCACCATAGATGATATGTACCTTTCATAGACAAGGCACAATACATACAATACCACTATTATTGTTATGGACATTGTCAGTCATTATTGTTGAGTATTGTTATATTAATATATTATTATCAAAATTATAGGAAACAATTCAGTTATAACGTTCTACACTTTTTATATTTCAAAAATAACTTATCATACACCTACATGGTTTATATAAAAAAATTGAAGGTTAGAATTTGTTCGGGTTTAAACTTATTAATTTTGCCAACATGAAATTTTTAAAAGCGAGTTAAAGAAAAAAGTAACCCTTAATTTTTATTTTTTGTATTAATTTTCGTTCATTTGCATATTACAGCATTTATACACAGTAAACATGTATATGAAATGTCACCCTCCATTTGTTCAAAAACCCCGCCAATGCGGTAAACACCTGCACCATGAGTCAACCGCTATCCGGAGCTCCAGTTTAGAAGGGGGCCACGCGCAAGTCTTCATTTGTCTTACAACAGATGTATTAGTAACTCACGGTTGATTACGTCTATATGAGACATCGCATCATTTTACACAAATATATTTCGTTGCCTAGAAGTGAGTTCCACAATTATTGAAATATTTTCGGTGGAAGGCTTAAGCCCTTTAGTGTCAAGCGGCTAGTCGAAATGGAAGCGTGGCGAACTTATGCAACAATTTGCAGGTTGTGTTTGCAAAAAGATGGTTTTATGTTAGGCATATTTAATCAGATACAAGGAAAAGAAAAGAGTATTTGTAGAAAAATAAAGGAGTTCATTGACCTACAGGTAAGCCTGACGATTGATTTTAATATCCAGTAAATTTCATAAAAAAATAAGTGTCAGAACAATGTTATGGCGTTTACCTAAACAACTTTGGGTGAATAAGTTTAAGATTTATACTATGTGCACGCATATTTTCCACATTTTTGATTTGAAAATAGACAAATGAGTAGTATCAGCATGTGTTCATAATATATTGACTATTTTACTTTGTAAGTATGAAATACAGAATTCCATAAACACTATCACATTTTAGTGTTATAATGCAAATAATCTTTTATTTGTAATTTCATGTAGGGATGTGTAGGTCAGACACATTGCGGAAAAGATAAAACTGAACAAAGCCACACAACCTTTGAGAACTTCAAAATTTCTAACCTTTTCCCATTCATTACTCATTCGAAGGATGAATGTCTCAAAATAGGTTTTGTGGTTTTTGTCTTCTCTTTTAAATCCTTATTCATTAAGCCTTTAAGTCTCATAAAACACTAAATCTTCAACAAGAGTAACATGCAACTGTGATTTTTATGGTTAACTAGTTATCAGCAATGACCTTACTATTAGTGTAACAATTTGTTTTTAGTGTAGATTTATTTAAAAGTTTATATTTACACCTTCATTTTTAGATATCATCTGGAGATGGTTTACCTTCATTAATATGTCACCGTTGTTTGTACAAAATAGAACTTTGTCTCGAATTTAAGCAACAGTGCTTTTTAGCAGATGCTACTCTACGTCAAGTGAACACTCTTCCTGACAAAGATGCCGTGAATTTCTTCGAGGGAAATGGAAATGGAGAAAACAATGTTGTTATGGTGGTGGATCCAATGAGTTTAGATTATGAATCAGAAGGTGAGACTGAAAATGAGCTGCAAAGTGACATAGAAGCACACGAATCTAATGATTTTAACGAGTTCCGAAATGTTTTCATGTGCAAATATTGTGATCAAGCATTTACTACCAAAAATGATTGTGCTTTGCATGAAAGTACCGGTCATAATAGCAATATACCATATACATGTGTAAATTGCAATATGGGATTTGCAGATCGTAGCCAATACTCGGCTCATTTGAAAAGCATTCATCAAAATGACAAACCCTATAATTGCCCTGAATGTGAAAGAACGTTTGCAAGACGCTCTGATTTACGGAAGCATACCATTGTTCATACAGGTGTTAAACCATTCACATGCACTATTTGTTTAAAATCATTTTCAAGGAACACAAACTTGTCTAAACACATGCGTATTCATTCTGGACATAAGCCATTTGTTTGTCAGTTGTGCCCTAAAACGTTCATTTCAAAGGCTGATCTGTCTCGTCATTCTATTATTCACACTGGACAGAAACCTTTTCGCTGTCGTTACTGCCATTTAAATTTCGGGAGGCGGGACAAACTTATTCGACATGAAAAACGTCATTTTCCTCAACAGAATATAGGCGACAAAAGTCAGGAATTGGAATTAATGAGACAGAATTTATCGTTAGGAAATTACAGTACATTAATAAAAGAAACTGAAAACAACGAGTACAACAGTCATGCTTCTGAAAATAAACAAAATGACTGGAGTAGCCAAGAAAATATGGTTATTAGCATAAACCCTTTTCATCACAATGAATTCACAAATAATGAAGGTACCGCCGGTAATGATTTTCATTCTGAAGAACAAAATATATCAAAAAATTTAAATTTGTCAGATTCATTTATAATGTCTAACAATATTGAAAACGTGAATTTTGAAGGCAACACACCCGATCGAGTTTCGAATGACAACGAAGAATTTAGAGGTTTTGAAAATAACAAAAAAACTAACGGTGACGCATTCAAACGACATCCGTGTTCTCTTTGTAACAAGAAGTTTTCCAGTTCGGAAGGATTACGTGTTCATATGACATTGCACTCTTTACAAAGGCCCTTCACTTGTACTATATGTGGCAAATCGTTCCTCCGAAAACGAGAATTGGACCGCCATCTTGCTACACATACAGGTATGAAACCTTTCAAATGCTCTTATTGTGATAAACGTTTTGGAAGGAAGGATAAATTAATAAGACATTTTCAAATACACAACGTTAAACGGGAACATGTTTGTTCTGTTTGTGGAACTTCATTTATTAGAAGAGATGGGCTCACACACCACATGAAAAAACATACTCAAGAAAATAGTGAGGAAAACAGTTTTGTGGTAGTGGCAGGTAACAATTTAACGAGTTGATTTTATTAGAAATTATGTTATTAACTGCATTTCATGGCGAAGAATTTTATAGGTAATTACAAAAATATTATATTATTATAATTTTGATTAAGTTTTTATTTTCCTCTAATTTTTACAACATTTATAATATGTTGTAGTTTGTTATTATTTCTAATTTGTAATTTAACAATGTAAACAGTTTTTATTTGGTTAATATAAGTTGTGTATATTGGTAGTATTTGCAAATCTAGTTGATTGTTCGCCAGTCACCATATCGTGACTATTTTTATTCTATTACAGCAACTGACTTTAAAATAACAGGTAGTGCTGGTGCGAATTAAAACTTAAAATGTAATAATTATAAAGTTTGTATTTTTGAGAGAGTTAAGTAAATATTAAGCAAATCGCATTTAGTTTAGTTATCACAACAACTTCTTAGAAAAATACTAATACGCCAAAATAACATTAAGATTGCTTTTATTTAATCATGCTTTATTAAATTTGGGATATTTTGCGTTTTATGTATTCCTCATATGTTGATATGCTTGAAGTTCGAATTCAAAATTCCATTTCATCCTTAAGGTAAAAAAAAAACACTTGGGTGTTTCATTCCCACCAGCCAGTAATGCTGGTGGGCGGGCAGTCCCTCTGGACTATGCCGAAAAGTAGGGCGTAAGGCCCTCTTCAGCCTGCTTTCAGGAATCGTGGGAATGGGTGGGTGGTGGTTCGGGTTAGAAAGATGAGACGGACGAAATAAAGACAGAAGAGAATGAAAGATTATCTGTGGAATAATACTGCCTCGGCATTTGCCTAAGTGATCCAAAGGAAACCACAGAAAAACTTCGACCAAGGTAGACGGGACCCGGAATCGAATAGGCGTCCTCCCGAATGCTAAGCAATGGTTTAAAACTCTAGGCCATGCCGCTCGGTCCTTAAGGCAACTAAAATATAGTGAAACGGTCGGTAGATTCGTGGTAGTCATTACTCTTTTACCTGAGGAAGGGGGTATGTAACCCTATATACAACTTGTATGTCCATGTTGCATAGTCTAGGTAACGAACTGAGTCATTCGCAGGTATAATATGTCTATGTATAATGGTATATGGCAGTCTATGGTTAATAATCATTAATAACAAGAATAGTTATTTGAACTACCTCTTATACTAAGATTATAAATATTAATAATTCAAAAAAGGATTACTACTGTAGGAATGGCACATAATTTATAATAGGGTCATAATTTACATGTGATATTACCAATAGTAATTAATAATGTATTCAAAGTATTTATTCAATTAACTGAGGTATACAATAATGCAATACGTCATTGTGCATGCTATTATTGCATTAGTTAGCATGCGGATGATACTGTATGTGTATGTGGTCAGTGATTTGTTGACTGTCGTAGTGGTGAAGTGTATGGATTCACGGATAATTATTAATAAGACATGTGATGTAGTAATACTTAAATTTGCTGTATGTAACATGTCATTTATTTAATGGAAAAGGTTTAAGATTAATAAACCTTTGTTAGATATCTATTATTTTTATACATGTTCGTATACATAAGTGCATAAACTATTTAACTGAGATTTAAATTAACGGAATGGTTTGTTACGTTATGGTGTGTGCGTACGTTTAATGAGTAAAAAGTAAGTCAATTTTAATTAATAAAAACTAGGTTCAGGTACATTTCTTTTGGAATTTTTGTTTATTTTCTTAGAAGCGTGATATGGTGTTAAAAATTAGTTCAAGTTATTGCTTTAAATGTGACAAAATATTTGTTTACAACAACATAACCTCAAATTATTTAGTATAGTCCTGTAATGAAGGATTATTCTTTTCTGTTTCTCCTTATTCTATCAAATTGAAGATTTCTTTCGAAATTTTTGTAGTGTTTTCAAACTGTTTGATGTACTTAATGGGCTATGTATATTTGTATTTGCTCTTCCTATTTATTTTGCATTATACAAGAAGCTGAGAGAAACATGTGCTTGAGAAAATAATTTGTTCAGAATGGAGCATGTATGGAGAAACTATATTACATATTAGTGTGGTGTAAATATTAACAAATTGCATATATTACATAGCCATATCAACAATTTAGGACTGCTCGTTAGTTTGTATTTCCTATACTTTACAATTAAGTACGTGTAATATCGGAATCATACGTATACAATAGTCAATATTATACTTCTGAAAGTTAGTAATGTGAGTATTTGTTAATATAAAAGTCCTTCCTGAAGGTTAATTATAATTTATAAATATATATGTATCAAAAGGGTCGCACCTATTAAATGAACTTTAACCTTTGTTTCACAATCAATTAAAAATTAACATTACAATTTAAATGTAAGAATAGATCTACGAAAGCAAATCAAGCACATCATTTTCACTCAACAGTTATTTTAGCTATAGAATGTTATGAATAATTATTTTTTGCTATTTTGTTATTTATTGCAATATTAGGTACGTCAAATTTACGTTAAGTAGTAGGTACTTACATAGGTAAGTACCTAATGAAAGTGCTTGAAACAGAAACTTATTTGTTTTTTTTACTAATACATATATGTATCTATGTTGGTTTTCAGAGATCATCTCATAAAAGACAAATAGGTACCTATATGATAGAAGAAATAATGAATACAAATTTCAATAGAAATTCGTAATATTGAAAGTATGTAATTAACTGTGTGTAGCTATTTACCTTATATTTATAAAGGTATTAGACACAACCCACGTGAGTTATGTACATAGGGACTAGAAGATACTTATACTAAAACAAAATAATGCATATATCAGATTAAAAAGTTTTTAATATTATAATTCATTGTATTCCTTGTCAGTTCTTGCATATCAATGTACTCCAGATGAAAAATATTAAACAGAGTAGGAGATAGGATGAAATTTAGTGTGTACATACGGTTAAAAGATTAAATTTTGGAGCAATTATCAATTATTTTACTTATTGCAAATTGCAAGGAGTGTTTTATTTATTCTACATACCTAAGATTTACGATTAAATTGAGGAAAATATTTTTTATGTTCATTCGTTATTATAGTTTCAGTAAGTTATATGGGTTCAGTTGTAAAAATATGTAGAATATTTACTTTTATACTTAACATGGTATTGTACCTTGAACTTGTTTGTTTATAATTATTATGTATCTGCTACCTTTGATCTCAATTACGTAAGTACATTATTTTAGTAGATGCTTATATTTTTTTCCGAGGTACACATTTAGTTATATATACTATAAATACGCATAATTCTATTGGATTCTTTACTCCCTTGAAATGTACATTTTAAAGCCTTTATTGGTTTAAATTCAAAAATTTAAGCCCTATCAAAAAAAAAAAACAAAATAATCCTTAGGCATAAACGATAACTGGATAGGAACATGTAAAGTATTTGAAATGCTATTTATAAAAATGAATTTTTATAATTAACGTACAAGGCGATTAAGGGTTGGAATGTATTTTTTAAAAAAATTGTAAAATACAGTAATAAATGTATTTGTTCAGTTTAACGAATCTTTTTTCAAAACTTTTCAACGTTCAAAATAGCCTCACTATTCACCCGCAGGTAATTTTTGTCGAGACCCTTCACTAACCATTTTTATGACGGTCCGGCAAGTTCGAATTCTCAGTAATTCCTTGAATGATTTGTTGCTCTATTTTGTGTCTTTAAGGGCTATTTTTGCTCGTACATTTCGTATTAGTCTTTTTTTGTTTACCGAAAACCTAAAATGCTTTCCTCTAAAAGCAGTCGTTCATTGTCACTCGCACAAAACAGCATCTCAACAAACATACTCTCCGCGGGATATAACATATTTTGTACGCGTATTTTTTCAACAATTAATTTTATTTTATTGACATAGTGTATTTTTAAAATTATTTAATAAAGTTCAGTGTTATTGTTAGTGAAGAAATAGTGCGTTATTTTATCCGTAACAATTTTCAACCTATAAACTATAAACTACCTATAATCACTTAATTGGAATTATAGGCAATTGATAACAACTCAATTCCACACCGAGTTACGTTCATCAATTAACATATGGTCCTTCGAGCCGGATTTTAATCCGTTTACATCATTTAAATTGCATTAACGAACAATTCACAAGTAACGAACATTGTTTACTATTATCAAATCAAAAATCGAATCCAAGTGCAGTGACAAATTAACAAATACGGCTATAGTGATCAGCGTTATCAACGGCTCACCAGCAGCGTTATCTACGGCTCACCAGCAGCGTTATCCACGGCTCACCAGCAGCGTTATCTACGGCTCACCAGCAGCGTTATCAACAGCTCACCAGCAGCGTTTTCCACGGCTCACCAGCAGCGTTATCCACGGCTCACCAGTAGCACAGTCAAGATCGGCAGGTAAGCTCGTTATATTCATATCGCCAACCCCTATTCTTATCATCTATCTTTCAAAATGACTGACGTCGCCACTCTTAAAAGCCTACATCATAAACGTGCAGCGATACATCGTGCGTTAAGTAGTTTCATAAAAATTATCAACAGCTGGGAAAACATCCCTGACTCTCGTGATCCTGACTATCTGCAAACGTCACTCGAAACATTAGAATTAAATTTTGCAAAATTTTATGACATACAAGATCAAATAGAAGAAATACAACCAGAAGAAATAGAAAAACGAGAAGAATATGAAACTTTTTACAACAAGGTTAAGGGCAAGGCTAGAAAATTCTTAAGAGAATTCAATACGACAAATTTACCAGCAAGAAATCCTATACAACCGGCACTTCCTCAAATTATTCAACAAAATAATGAACTAAGTGTCAAACTACCGACAGTAACGCTTCCGACCTTTAGTGGGGCTGTTGAAGAATGGCCAACTTTCATTGACAACTTTACAAAGGTCATTCACGATGAACCTCGTTTACCTGCGATACGTAAATTTCAATATTTGAAGTTATCATTAAAGGAAGGCGCCGCCGCAACCATAGATTCTCTTAAAATAACCGAGGAAAATTATGAATTAGCATTAGACACGTTAAAAAAGAAGTACGAATGTCCGCGAAAAATTATGAGAAAACACTGGGCCATACTACGCGATTATCCAAAACTCGCCAAAGATACACCAATCGCGTTGAATAAATTTTTAACCACATTCAATCTTCACGTACAAGCATTTAAAAATATGGACGCTCCAGTTGACCAGTGGGACTTGCCGCTTATTGAATTAATTTTATCAAAAATTAGCACAACTACTGCCTGGCATTGGGAACTATCATTAACTGATAAATCCATGCCATCTTACACGCATTTGACAGACTTTTTAGAGAAGCGAGCAAACTGTACAGATTTTAATGTATCGGATCAACTTAAGCAAAATAATCCACGTAATGATAATCTAAGATACAAGAAATCTAATTCCTCTGGCAATCAAGCATTCATGACGTCTAATCCCTCACTAAATTCTTCGAAGAAATCAGCTTCATGTGTTGTTTGCTCTCAAGAACACCCAGTATATCGTTGCGCGACTTTTCGACAGCTGTCAGTTGAAGAACGACGAAAAATGGCCACTAATCTCTCATTATGTTTTAATTGTCTTGGTCAAAGACACGGAATGCGCGAATGCTTATCTAAAAGTACTTGTCGCGAATGCAACGCCCGTCATCATACCCTCTTACATCAATCTCAAGCCAGGAATTCAACGATAAATAAAGAAACAATTGAACAAACAAATTCCAATAATATACACGAAATGCAATCGTCCTCGAAGGCAGGACTAGAACCACGGAAAACATCCATATCGCGACCAGTCGCCTTTGTAGTTAATGCATCTTTAGGCACATTAATGGTTACTGCAAAAATTAATGCAAACAACATAAGGAATAAACCCGTAGAATGTCGTACTCTCATCGATACATGCGCGACATCAAATTTTATAACCGAAGAATTCGCCAGAAAACTTGGACTCCAACGTCGAGAATGTTACATACCAATCGGCGTTCTGAACGATCGGGCCACGGTCTCAAAAGGCACAATCTCAACAACCATATCATCACGAACTACTGGTTATAATCGACTTGCAACATTTCTAATTGTTCAAACCATTTCTAACTTCGTTCCACAAGATCCAATACAGAGGAATCAAATAAAAATCCCAAAAAACATTCAGCTCGCTGATCCCGAATTTCATAAGGTTGCTCCAGTTGACATGCTTTTGGGCACCGGCATCGCACTGTCGTTATTATCAGTAGGACAAATCGATTTATCGCCAGAAGGTGGACCAGAATTGTTTTTACAAAAGACCAAAGTCGGATGGGTAATCGGGGGGAGTGCACCTGCTGCACGACCGTCACGTACACGTCATTGTCATTTAACGTCGGAGCTTCAATTTGACATATCGAAATTTTGGGAGATCGAGGAAACTCCAAGTACAATAGCAATACCAGAAACGGACTGCGAAGCGCATTTTTTGAATAATTTTCAACGACGTGAGGATGGACGATATACTGTAGCATTACCATTCAACGACAAACAATTCAAAATCGGCGAATCGTTATCTATGGCCCGCAAACGATTACAAGGCTTACAACGAAAACTAGCATCAAATACAGAACTAAATAAAGAATACCATAATGTTTTGAATGAGTATATAGAACTCGGCCATTTATCAGCAATAGACGAACCTGAAGCAAGAGAATCCGGATTTTACCTGCCCCATCATGCCGTCACAAAACCAGGTAGTCTCACTACGGCTGTACGAGTTGTATTTGACGGATCCGCAAAGAGCTCTACAGGAATATCACTGAACGACACATTAATGGTCGGCCCAACGATTCAGCCTGAATTAATGACACTTTTATTACGCTTTCGAAAATACCCTATAGTTATCACCGGAGACATAGAGAAAATGTATCGCCAATTTTACATAAGGGAAGATGATCGCAAGTATCAACGAATTTTGTGGACGAACTCAAAGGGTGAAATCCAAACTTATGAATTAAACACCGTAACCTTTGGATTGTCGTGTGCACCATATCTAGCCATTCGTTGTCTCCATCAACTAGGTCGCGATGAACAAGACAATTATCCATTAGCCTCAAAAGTTGTACAATCAGATTTTTACGTCGATGATCTATTAACAGGGGCAAACAATATAGATGACGTTTTGCACATACGAGATCAACTGACTAAACTTCTCGAGTGCGGTGGTTTGAAAATCAGGCAGTGGGCATCTAACAATCCAAAAGCACTAGAAGGACTGCCAACAGAAAGCATAAATAAACATTTGCTTTTGCAAGACACATCGACCATAAAAACCCTCGGTATCAAGTGGGACTCCTCTCACGACACCATAGTCTACACCGTCAATCCCACTCATATTCCTGAAAAAACAACAAAAAGAGCAATAATGTCTGTCATCGCTCGTATTTTTGATCCTCTCGGTCTATTGGCTCCTGTCGTCATTACTGCAAAGATAGTTATGCAAAAGTTATGGGCATTAAAACTCGATTGGGATGAGTCACTCCCAACTGATCTCCATACAGAATGGAATCACTACTATCAGCAATTATCGGAATTGAATAATATACACTTTAACAGACTCACAACCATCAAAAATTCCGTCAACATTGAGCTCCATGGGTTTTGTGACGCAAGTCAAAGGGCCTACGGAGCATGTGTATACGTAAAATCTTGGAACAAAACAGGAAAATCAAAGGTTACCCTTCTTTGCGCAAAATCACGAGTATCACCATTAAAAGCAACAACTATTCCCCGCTTAGAACTGTGCGGAGCACAACTACTTGCTAATTTGATCACATACGTGAAAGAAGCACTGCAACTGAATTTACAAAAAATTATTTGCTGGACAGACTCGACAATTGTATTACATTGGTTAAAAACTCATCCACAAAATTTGAAAACCTTTGTTGCAAACCGCATCGCTTCAATCCAAGAAAAGGCAGATATCCACGAATGGAGGCACATAAAAACACATGAAAATCCTGCCGATTTAATTTCCAGAGGGGTGTTACCTGCACAATTTGGTAGTAGAACATCGTCAAAATTTACACGCAGGCGTACAAGCCACTTTATATGCACTGCGACGACAGTATTGGATTTTAGATGGTCGGAATCAAGTCCGAAAAATAATTCGACGTTGCATCACTTGCTGCAAATCGCAACCTGTATCCATAGAATATTTAATGGGCGACTTACCTGCTTCGAGAGTAACCCCAGCCCGACCCTTCAGCAGAGTAGGTATCGACTATTGCGGACCTTTTTTCATTAAAGAAAAGAAGTTGCGTAATAGAAACAAGGTAAAGGTCTACGTAGCCATATTTATATGCTTCACCACCAAGGCGGTACATATTGAAGTAGTTAGCGATCTATCAACAGATGCATTTTTAGCAGCCCTGAAAAGATTTATTGCACGACGAGGAATTTGCACCGACATTTATACAGACAATGCCACAAACTTTGTGGGAGGACACAATGAAATCAAGGAATTATATGCATTACTGAATGACACTAAACATCAGCAAAAACTTAATCGATACTGTAATCAAAAGGAAATAAAATGGCACTTTATACCAGCACGAGCTCCCAACTTCGGTGGTCTCTGGGAAGCCGCAGTCAAATCATTCAAACACCATCTCCGTCGCATTATCGGCAATACTTTATTAACGTTCGAGGAATTAACTACTCTAACCACTGAAATTGAAGCTATTTTGAATTCTCGCCCTCTGACACCTATTTCCTCCGACCCCAACGATTTATCAGTTCTCACACCTGCTCATTTCCTTATTGGCGATTCATTAACGAGCTTGCCTAGTCAGGATTTTTCAGAAGTTTCAGTTAATAGATTGTCAACCTGGGAGCACATACAACAGATGCGTCAACATTTTTGGTCCCGATGGTCAAAAGAATACCTAAATGAATTGACTACACGCCATAAATGGAAAAAACAACTTCCAAACCTCGAAATTGGGACACTTGTCTTACTAAAAGAAGACAACCTCCCTCCACTTCAATGGAGTCTGGGAAAGATAACAGCTACTTATCCAGGTGATGACGGTATTGTAAGAGTCGTCAGAATCAAAACCGCCAAGGGGGAATATGACCGCAGCGTGCAAAAGGTAGCACCACTGCCAATTCAACAGGCTGAAGATAAATTTATCAAGTCCATTGAAGCATCATAATATTTATTTTCTTCATTTTCTAATTTTGTTTTAATTCAAATTCAATATGTTATTTTTAATCTAAATTAATATAGCTAGCGAATCTATTGTAACTATTGAACATCTACTATTTGATCGGCATTTGCCTCTCAACGGGGGGAGTATGTTCAGTTTAACGAATCTTTTTTCAAAACTTTTCAACGTTCAAAATAGCCTCACTATTCACCCGCAGGTAATTTTTGTCGAGACCCTTCACTAACCATTTTTATGACGGTCCGGCAAGTTCGAATTCTCAGTAATTCCTTGAATGATTTGTTGCTCTATTTTGTGTCTTTAAGGGCTATTTTTGCTCGTACATTTCGTATTAGTCTTTTTTTGTTTACCGAAAACCTAAAATGCTTTCCTCTAAAAGCAGTCGTTCATTGTCACTCGCACAAAACAGCATCTCAACAAACATACTCTCCGCGGGATATAACATATTTTGTACGCGTATTTTTTCAACAATTAATTTTATTTTATTGACATAGTGTATTTTTAAAATTATTTAATAAAGTTCAGTGTTATTGTTAGTGAAGAAATAGTGCGTTATTTTATCCGTAACAATTTTCAACCTATAAACTATAAACTACCTATAATCACTTAATTGGAATTATAGGCAATTGATAACAACTCAATTCCACACCGAGTTACGTTCATCAATTAACAGTATTCAACAACATAACAACTTCCGAGAATTAAAAAAAACTTACAAAATGAATGGTAAAAATAATAGTCATTTCATTTGTACTTGAAACTGTGTATTTAGGTATTATTGCGATTGTTTGGTATTTTCTACAAAATTCAGTAACTTAAACTTACTGAAATTTAATAAATTACATTGAAAGGTTACATAACAAGATGAAAGGAGTATGGATGTAAATAACTTACATGTTTTAAGAAAGATAACGATTTAGTGGCTTGTAAATCACCATGTGTCTAAAGCATGATTGTAAAATTATTTATAAAACGAATGTTTGCGGTATCACTTAGAACTAATAAATTTAAAATAGGTTGAAATTGGTTAAAAAAATCATTTACCATTTTATATTCGATTGCAAAATTACTTCTTATTTGTTTCATTTCACAGTGTTACATTACCGTTTTATCGAAATATTTCTGCGCTTTAATATTATTTTATATATTGTACCAGCGGAAATACCCTATACAAAAAGAGCGTTTTCTTTATTATTTATTTCTTTTTTATATTCAGAAACCATCTTTGCGGCGTGGACATCTTACTAAAGTTTCATCGCAATCCGATGAATGGTTTGGGAACTCATACGATACAAACAAAGTAAAACACTCATTTTTATATTATATGCATAGATAATGCTTCTTTAAGTATTTGATTAAAATACAATATGATACTATTGATAGTACCGTAATAATAACTTAAGTTTATAATTTACAGAAGGACTAGATACTTATATGTATACATACACGTATAGATTGAAAGTAAAAAATGCATAATGCATATACATCAATTTTGAATTACTATCATTTATATTAGGTAACATGCTTCCTACATGTTTGGCTTTTTATTGTTATTATTTCATGTGCTTCTGAAATAAGCAGGCGTAAATGCATTAATTCAATTTTAACTTTTTTAATTACTTATTTTAAAAGTAATCGCTTTCGATAATTGTTTGGGCAGACTTAAAAANGATTTTAATATAATTTATGTATAGATAATATCATCGCTTTGTTTCTTTTGTTACAGAGATGACTATTTTACTATTATTTTGGAGTTTTTTTCTGGTATTAACAATAATAATCATATTATGGAAAAATTCATTAACAGCTCAATATTATTTGAAATTCACTCTTTTCATTTTGATAAGTTTGGTGGCTGCCAGTCTTCCAATCCCTCTTATGTTACGTAGGCCCCGTGATAGTCGAAATGCTCTGTAAGTAGGTGTTCTAACACTAAAAAATAGCGTAGCATTTTGTTTTAATTGCTATCTAATGCTTTAATCGATGTGAAGACTAATAATACAATTAGATAGAAACATTTTTTTTAAATCGTTTATAATCTAAAAAATTCGGTCATTCAAGGTTGGTGTTCGTTTTTCAGACTTCCAGCAAAACTGTTACGAATGTTTGCATGGCTTTTCGGGTTGACTTACACGGTAAAGGGACGAGAAAACATTGTTGAAGACAGTGGATGTGTGGTTTTGATAAATCACCAAAGTGCTTTGGATCTTATCGGTATGAAAAATATTTTAAGTTACCTACTTAAAAAATGAACATAAAGTGTTAGACCATCATAAACCACCACAGTTCCCTATGTCCTGCTTTAAAAATATGCAGTAGTGCTTAAAGGGGTAATAGAATTATTAATTCAATTTTCAAATAATGATACATATGTGTGTATGTGTGAATTCAATTTTTTTTAATGTCCACGAAATGTTACAGTTTCTTTGAATATAATATAATTTGAATTATTTATAGTTATGTACATATAGTTGAAGAAAGTTTGTTGTAGTTTTAGCCCAGCTATGGCCAATTATGAAAAATTGTACAGTAATTTCAAAAAAAGAGGTGTTCTTTTTATGGCCCTTCGGTTTAGCTACATGGTTGTGGGGTACTATATTTATCGATCGCTATAATCCAGAAAGAGCCCAAGATGCCGTCAACAAAACTGGAGAAACGATACGAAAAAGAAAAGTAAGTGTTCATAAAATAAAATGTTCAGCAAGTATGTATATGCATATCTTTCTAAATTATCAGTCAATTTTTCAAGTAAGTAGTTTTGTTTATAGTTTTGCTTAAAATAGGGCTCTAATGTGTATATCTACATATGCTTGTATATATGTACAGATAAAAATATATTGTTTCTTTTATAAGACTGCTTGATTTAGTAAATATATTGGTACATTGGTAAAAAATCATACAGGTATGTGCAAAAAAGCTACATATGGGTAGTGTAGCTGTAATAATTTTTGGCATTTTACATTTTTCGTATTTCAAGATAATTAATGAATGCCATTATTTCTAGGCTCGGGTACTAATGTTTCCTGAAGGAACGAGAAATCTAGGAAACAAGTTATTACCGTTTAAAAAAGGAGCATTCCATTTAGCTTTAGCTTCGCAATGTCCATTACAACCAGTTGTTGTGGACCGTTACAAATTTTTAGGAAAACATACATTTGGAGAAGGCAAATGAAAACTTTTGTTCTTATTCATTTATTATTCCCTGTCAATAATCGAATACTACATTTTCGTTTATTTTTTAGGACATATTGATATAACGATATTACCTCCAATAGCTACTTCTGGGTTAACAAAAGACGATCTTCCATATTTAATGGAAACAGCATATACGAGTATGTCGTCTCATCTCAAAGATTCATCGTTATTGTTAAAAGTTAATAATAAAAAAGTTAACTAATATTGAATGTTATTGACTGAAAAATATAATTAAGAGAAAAGCATATAAACGAACAAACAAGCTTTATATATATAAATATATGTATATATATTGCATTTAAAATTATACCTATATTGTTTAATATGTGATGATTATGAGAAGTTATTTTGAAAAGCATTTATTTATATATTGTAATTTTTTAACAAATAAAACAAACTAAGTATATAAAAATTTGGATTATCAGCGGAATCGTTTCTTTATTGTTTTTGGATTGCATAAAGATTATTACAAATAGTAGTAATAACAAAATGAACTAAAAATTTTAAGTATTTTACAAATTAACAAACGAAGTTTTAAATGTAATCGGTGAATGAAAAGTGTTGATTTCTTTGTGAATGGTATTTCACATACTAATTAAAACGTGTAGTAGAAATATGTTTAATACTTAATTAGATTTCACCATCACAAGTAAATCATATTATCCGGTTTATAAAGTGTTGTTTTTGTTGAGTCATGAAACTACTTATAATTTTTCTGATAGAGAAATACGATGAAAAATGGATTCGGCAAGAGTGTGGAGTAGAGGAAGATCCAATTAAATTTTATTTTGAATGCAGTTTCATTCTAAGTTGTTTCATTATTATTATCTATAAGGATGAATGCGAGTCGCATCAATTCCGCTTCTCTAAGTATCTAACCAGCAGAGCAAAGCTCGCCTCTAACGATAAGGATAAATCAACGACACGTAAAACCGTTACAGTTTTATTTTGCGCTTTATTCCTGTATCCCTGTTCAGAGCGACCATCCTGCGGAATGAATGGAGATGCAGTCGAGAGCTTCGTTTATTTCTAACGCAATGGTGGTAAGCAAATCTAATGCACGAACCTTTAAATTTCTGAAATGTAAGAGAAAGCGATCCATTAAAAACGCGAGTTTTTCCTCTTCTTTCTTCTGTTCACAGAAAATGTGCTACAAGCATCGACTGGAAAAAGTGCATATTTGTGGCTGCTACGACCTAGTAATAACCAAAATGCTGAACTCAAACGCTCATCTTTATATACCACATCCTAACTTGTATAAAATATAGTAAGATACTTTTATCTTTTATTCATATATTTTAAAATTTTTAATATAGATNATGCTGAACTCAAACGCTCATCTTTATATACCACATCCTAACTTGTATAAAATATAGTAAGATACTTTTATCTTTTATTCATATTTTTTAAAATTTTTAATATAGATGTTTTAAAAGAATTTGAAATACTGAAATAAATACTTTCCACTTTATATTTTAAACGAAGTTTGTTATTAAGATAATTACTGAAAATAGTTTTCTATAAACTTCCATCAGATAGTCATTCGCTTCTCTTTGTTAATATGCAGCCAGTAACACTGCAAAGTTTTTGCAATGATATTACTAAAGAGCTGTAATATATACAGTAGTCATTAAATTCTAGCGTTGCTTTTTTTGTGGAACAATATTTAAATAAATAAAAAAAAAACTGCTTTTAAATTTGCACATTAATGCAGTATAATAATAACTCTATAATTGTTTCAAGTTTTTTAGAGTATTGTAGGTACAATTAATAAAACCAAAACAACAATATTTAATTTAACTTTTACCGTTTCTGCCTGAAATGTTTCTGATATTAAATCTGGCTATGTACTTTAAAATACTTTTGTCCTGGTTGTATTAGTCCGCAAGCAAATTTATTGTACTCATAGCCAATTCAAGAAAAGGGAAAACAATGTGTGATCTTTAACAGGGTAGATTAGACTGTAAATTAGTAGTGTATACAGAACATAGATAAACTAATATTCCGATGAAACTCTACTTTTTTGTTAGAAGGTAGGTAAGTTTGTTTTACGATAAGTAGGTAATAGATTATTAAGTCTGAAGATAATAACGAAAAAGTTTCCATTATAATATCGTAGCGTGTAGGGATAGGCGACTATACCTACACATGTATTATGAGTTAAAGTCGATGCTTTTATTTTTTAAATGAAAACTGTTTGTAATGCCTTTAGTGTCATTGTTATATTAAGCACATAGTGTTTTAAAGTTATTATTATTATTTTGTATTCGTTAATTCAACGCCCAATGTTAATTCGAGCTCATGGTAGTCGAAATTAAAAAGGGGAAGATACCATACAGAAGTGAAATACCTACTGTTTGGATAAATTATAACACTCCGTCAAGGGTAAGGTAACGTCTAAAAATTAAATAAACACATAATGTACAGCCACGAAGGATCTCCAACATCTTTCGAAAGTAAATCGTCATCATTATTCCTCTATTTCATAATCAAGGATCTTTTTTAGCCCGAGTGTAAAGGATACTCCTGCACTAGGACGAACTATAGGGTTGTTCGGAAAGTCATTTCGTTTTTTTCCGACAGAGGATTTAATTGTATTCTTTTGCACCCAACTTCACATTTAAGCCGTATAAATTTTATATACTTTGAGAGCTCATATAGCAAGGCTTGTGTGTGAAAAATTCCAATTAATTCTACGCAGTAGTTTTTGGTTGGTGCCCTTTTAAATATGGAGAGCGATAAGCAGCATTTTCGACATATCTTACTGTTTTACTACAGAAAGGGTAAAAATGCTGTTCAAGCCAGAAAGAAATTGACTGATGTGTATGGAGAAGGTGTGTTGACAGTACGCCAGTGCCAGAACTGGTTCGCTAAATTTCGATCCGGCAATTTTGATGTCGAAGATGCACCACGTTCGGGAAGGCCGGTTGAAGCTGATAAAGACGCGATAAAGGCATTAGTTGATGTGAACCGGCGAATAACAACACGTGAGATCGGATTGAGGTTAAATTTATCAAATTCAACAGTTTATGACCACTTGAAAGGCCTGGGATTATCCTCGAAGCT